TCCTTTATACTCAAGGTTAAAGACCTTAATACAGAGGCTCAATACGGGACAACATTCAAACAGAGCATTACTTGGTGAAAGTGGGAAGGAAAAACTCCCTTTTAACAGGAAGAAACCTCAGACAGAACCAAACTCGAGGAGGGGGGCTTTATTTTTTGAGTTTTTGAGATATTGATACATTGCCAGATGTTGAAGACCTTAAAGTGGGTCAAAAACCTATTAAAAAAAAATCTTGCAAATTATTTGATACATGAAGCCAACATTTTGAAGCGGTCATTATAAATGTCCAGTCTTTGGACCATAACAGTTGGAGGTTTAAGGCCCGTGTTGTTTTGAGATGGAATGACCCAGTTACCGGTACTGGTAATTTAGGGCAGCTGTGGCACAGACCTTACATTGGGTGGTGGTCTAATAAATTTGTTAAGCACTGTATCAAGTACACATGTGCCTCTCAGGTGGACTTCAAAGAAGTATAATGGAAACCAGTAATTGTCCACGGTGCCTCCAGCTGTCTGTGTCTGACAGACTTCAGTGTTCAGAGTCCCCTCAGTGTAAAACTGTCAATAATAAAGGTTCCCACATTCAACTCTGTCATGATGCTACTTGTAAACTACAAAAATGTCCAAATGCATTTTATTCATAACTAAGCATTAAAGACAAAAATGCAAAGAGTAATGTGGACTTTTGAAACATTGTTAGAAATATCTTTATACTTACCCATGAAAACAAATTGGAGATAAATGTTTGGTTCATGAATTTATTGCCTTCCTTTGACTAAAGTTGCAGGTTGGTTTGCATGAAAGCCGACTGTTATGTGCATGTGGAAGTTATTAAGAGAAGGCTGAAGATAAAGCACCGTTTGGTTTTCTGTAAATCTCTTTAGAGTGGGAGCTTCCCACAGGGACTACTGAATCATAACCTGACACCAGAGACACGTCTGGTTCTGAAGCTCTATCCCAATCACAGGACGACTCATCTCTTTGTGTAGAACAGACGAGACTGCGTCATCAGTTTACTTCCTCTGTTGGTTGCCTGCATGGCCAGCCAGGTGCTTATTCTGTTTCTCATGAAAATGTGAAATGCATCTTGCCCGCGTATAGCTCCGCCGTGCTCACGGTAATTTGTGGGCTTCTGTCACAGGGACACAAAGCGGCACTTTGAGTTAATTGATCGGAATCCGTGTGGACACAGTTTGCGGTCCAGCGCGGACTTTTTTTTTCTGTTTGTGTGTGTGAAGGGGAGCAGACAGATGTGTTCATTCATAATAAATGCAGGTCACTTTACAGGCCTGGAGAACATCTCCCTGAAATGTTCCCACAAATAAGTGGGCTCCTGGCTGACATCATCGCACACTGCATGCATATGTGAACTGTTTCCTTCTGTTAATGCAATCAAAGCCTGCGCCTGAGTCTATGTTCGCACAGAGCAGGCCGAATCTGCTCGGTTACATTAAAAACGTGGCTGTGGCTCAGCATTAAAACATTCAGTGTTTTTTAGGGAGACTGTCTGGGAACATGAAAATGCATAAGCAGTCTCTGCTGCTGATGTCCAACAGTTTCTCTAACTTTCTGAAACCAACAGCCTAACATTCACAATCATCTCTCGCTTGTGTGGAGGTGAAAACCTACCCTGGATATTTTCTTTCAAGCTCTGCTCTTCACACTGTCTCTGCAACAAACTTTGAACAACTTAGGCCTTTTTTTGGAGGAGACCATCAATGATATTCTGTTGGCCTCGTATTTATGATGATGTATGATATTAAATATCTCCATTCAATAGGACTGCTGGCTTTTGACTCGCTGGTATAAACACTTTTCATCTCTGGCGTTCTTTTTTGTATAAAAATGCCCTCGGGCAGTGTTCACAGCCAGCATTAACAGATCTGTCCACACTGGACACACAGGTGTGAATGCCATTTTCAACTAACTCAGTCTGAGCGATGCAGATTTTATAACGGACATCTGACAAAATTATAGATATAGCTTAAAACGTTATCCAGCAATCACTCAGAGAAAGTAACACCTACAAAGTATCAATAGATGATAGAGGAGATGGTAAGCTTCACCATATATTAGTTCATTTTTGGCCTTTATTATGTAATAAATTGAACATTAGATAGAAAAAATGGGGAGAGAGCAACAGCAAAGGCCCTTGGGTTGGAGTTGAACCTGCGCTGCTGCATTTAGCCCTGCGGCATGTGGTCACCTGCGAGCTAAACTGGTGCCCAGATGTAGCTTACTTTAAGCTACAGTAATAGTTCCTATACATCTAATGCTAGGGGTGAAGTGAAGCATGATTAGTTTATTACTGCCGTGAAAGAGTTGGATGTCAGGCAGATGAGCTGCGATGACGCATATATTTCTAGAGAAAGAAAATGCTGTGATTACCTTTAACAAAGAACCGCAGAAGACAGACAGGCTTGTGTCTCGTTTTATTTCAGCAAAACTATCTCACAAAGTTGCCACAGACATGCGGTGAAGATAGCGGGTGTACTTTATACACTATATTACCAAAATGATTCGCTCATCTGCCTTCACACGTATATATCAGGCTGAGTGACATCCCATTCTTACTCCATAGGGGTTTATGTGATGTTGGACCACCCTTTGCTGCATTCCCAGCTCTGCACCACTGCCCCTGATGCTTTGCATTGTGCTTGCTGATGTATGCAGGTGTTTGGCCATGGAAACCCATTCCATGAAGCTCTCTATGCACTGCTCTTGAGCCACATGGCGTTCGGAGGTCTGCAGCGACTGACTGTGCAGAAAGTTGGTGACCTCTGCGCACTATGTGCCTCAGCATCCCCTGACCCTGCGCTGTGAGTTTACATTGCCTTCGTGGCCACTAACAGTTGATTGCGGAGCATTTAGTGGCGAGGAATTTCATACCTGGACTTGTTGCACAGGTGGCCTATCACCACCCTGGAATTCACTGAGCTCATGAGAACAGCTAATATGGATGGATGTATCAGTTTATGGTGTTTAGGGCTGTTGCAGGCTACGTTCCTAAACTGGTGGAATGTGCACACACACATACTGGCGAATTAGTTAAAGGATGAATTAACTGATAAATAAAATACTAGAATCTCATCAAAAATATATTAGCAAACATGCTAAAAAATACCAATAGCTGAAACACAGTGAAGAGTTCTGGTTCAATCACGAGAATTAGTGAATGAGGCCTAGTCGACGCTGATCAGTTACAGCTTCCTGTGCTATAAATCAATGTGGCCACGCCCCTAACTACCTTGTCCAGTTGAAAATCACAGGAAGCTGTCAACTATGTCCAAAACTGTATTGGTCCCATGCTGCAGATATACCTTTCAATCCTCTAAAGTTGGATATTTTAAAATGAGAGTGCATGAGGATGGACTCGCTGTAGGAGCCAACCTCAGGTGGCCATCAGGGGAACGGCAGTTTTTTTTTGTTTTTTGTTTGTTTGTTTGTTCTAAAAACTTTTGCTTTGGCTTTAATTTTCATCTCCAGAGCTTTTTAGTTGGGTGACTTGTTCAGATATATTTTTTTTGATTTGTTTAAATTTTTTAATCTGTCTCAGGGAATGAAATTTAGTAGTGTCCTCGCTCAGTCCCTCCCATAGTCTGTTCCTCTGTCGGTAGGCTGATCAGGAAGATGTTGTGACAAAGTTTGACAGACTCAGACTCATCTGTCTCAGGCTGCAGGTAGTGATGGTAGCCTATGACCTAACGGCGTTATGCATCACATGTCTCTTTGCTGATTGTGTTTTGTATATCTGTGTACTGTCACACGTATATTCATGGAGTCATGTAGTCTTCTCACTATTGCACTGCATGTTATGCAGCAGGATTGGCCTTTTAATGTTAATGTATACCAGTAAAATTAGTAGATTTATTTTTGCTTCTATCAGAAAGATAATTAGGAACTAAGGCTTTCATTTAAGTGAAGTGGACTAAACACTCACTGTGCTGCAGGTATTGCTGCTAAAAGAAATCTGCCAAATGTAAAGATTATGGCAAAGAAATGAAAACTAAGATCCACCAGCCAGCGTTTGTTCTTTTTAATCATTACTACTAGTTTTGTTGAACCCTGATTGTGGTTGTGAAATGAAAGAAAACCACAAAAACTACCAGCTCAGTTTGTGTGGAGACCCAAACAGAGGGAAATGACTTTCAAATTCAAATGTTTAAATTTAGCTGTGCGGACAGAAGAACATGCTGAATTATCCAAAAGAAGTTTCCAAGGCACAGAAAATTGTGTTTTGTGCACCTGGTTTTACCCTGAACTGCTTCCTGTTGCTCTCTGGGCCGTCTGGATGGATATATTTAATTTCCTGCCTTCAGAGACCCCCCCCCATCTCTCTCACTTTTATTCTCCCATTTACTGTTTCATGCACACACACGCGCACACACACACGTTGTCTGAAGTGTCTTCAGGTCAAGTAGGCTGGAAAGAACTGTGAAACATGCTGGAAAGTAATTTGTGGATTTGGGAGTCCCGCCTGATCAGTGCTGCTGCCTGACCCGACCTGACCCTACGTGACTGATGGTATCGGAGCACGGCGGCCTGTGGAGAAGCTTCACAGAAAGGGAACTGCTTTTAATAATCTCATATGTGGTTTCCTCACCCAGCATGCTGTTGAGGGAATGTATTATCAGAGTTAGCCTGAGGTGAAAGGGTCTGGAGGATTTTTTCTCTCTCGTTCACGCTCATACCCTTACAGTGCTTATTATCTCTTGTCCTCTTATGTAGCGAGACAGCTGGCTTAATCTGGCCTCTTGAATTCATCAGGTGTGAGGTCACATCCGTGCCGGCCGCAGCGCCTGGGTTTATTTCAGACGCGCGCACAGATCCACAAACCTTCCGACAACTGTTCCTTGCATTTTCCGAACGATGTTCCCATGTTTCCCCACCCCCACTTATTCTCCTTATTCTTTTCCTGTAAGCACGTGTGCTTTTATAGACGAGGGGTCACCAGTAGTCAACTCGCTTCTCCCTCCCTCCCTCTGGCTGCTGCAGTTATCCACAGCCTGTCCTGTTGTTCGCAGGGTTTAGTCTTTCTCTTTGCTTTTTGTTCTGAAGTTGCCGGCTGCGTTCGATGGAGGCAGAGGCCACTTCGTATTTAGGCTTTGGCAGACATAGAGCAGAGGAAATGCTGGATAGACCCTGGCTTGGATTTTTCGTGCATCACATAACAGAGATGGGAGTTATTCAAAGACCCATAAGGAGGAAATGGTAACACAGACACACAGAGAGAAGAGGATCGGTGCCTTCTGAGAAGTGTACTGGCTTCCAGTGTAATGAGCAATGTGTGAACTTGTTAACTAGGCCTATTCTCTTTGACCTTAATTTAAATTGAGGATTAGCCATCTCATCAGAGTTCTTGGTGGAAAGCCAAGGCTTGTTTTGCCTTGGGCAAAACTCAAAAGGAGGATTGGGAAGGAAAGTAGCTGCTCATCCCTCAGAGGAAGCTTTTGCATATTTCCTTTGGCAGGGAACTTGAAGCGATTAAAAAGTGAATTTATTTGGATTGACTTCAAGAAGAGAAAAACACACCACATTTACATTTTTTTCCGTAATGGATTTGGATCAGTTCTGTACCTTAACCCGGGAGCGTCCTGTTTATCTACCTGGATTCAGCTCATCAAAGGATCCAAGAATTTATTGATAATCTCTGCGTTCCCAGGCAATGGAGCTCCGTAAGAGGGTGAAGCCAAAACATGGCCTTTCACAAGATGCGCCGTCTGAAGGCAGATGTAACCATAACGCTCTGTCGGGAACGCAGGAGGGGGGTGAAGGAGGGGTTTCTCTGCTTGGGCGATCCGGTTCACGTTCCCATTCCGGTTCAGGCGTTTCACCCCTGCGGCCTTGGCAACAGTGCGTTTTCATGGCAGCAGGGCTGTTAGCGGCTGTGCTGCTGGCACTGACTCAGGCTTGGTGTGTGAACGGCTTACATGAGAATCTGCTGTGGTTCTCGCAGCTCACGGTAGGAGTTATTACGTGTTTATAGAAAGTGTTTCAATTTGAGCGATTGATAAACCAAACACATTACAAATGAGCTCTGCTTCGATGTGACCGCCTTGGGGGCAGGTTCAGTCTGCTTCCTGGGTTCAGTCTGCAGCACGGTGCTAATGAAAACCATCACAGCACACCGTAGTCCAATCTGCAACCACAGTCAGAGCTCCCGCCCCTTCTGTGTTGTTAGGTCGTTACAGAGTGGCCCCAATAACAGTGAGATCACGGTACAAAGATCCAGCAAGCAACAGGCATCTGATGCTGTTATTATCTACAAAATGAACAAACTCCTTTATAGTTGAAGTGGCATAGATTTATTTTTTTCTGTCTGTTGTTTTTTTCTTTTCTGAAGTTAGAGATAAAGTTTCGCCTGCTCAGTTGGAAAAGTGCTGCATAATTCAGAAATGTTAGAAATGATCTTAAACACCAAGAAATATCTCTTCAACCAAGATGCAACTCAATGCCAAATCAGTGCAGTTCCTGGAATGGCCACTAGAGGCCGTCTCCAAACTCGAGTCAGTCTCTGTAGACGCCGATGTTAAAACGTCTGACTTCACAGAAGGTCACATGCAGACCCTGGTACGAAAATGTTGGATCTCTATAGCTAATTTTTCTCTTCATGTGTAGGAAGTTTTTATGAAGGTGTCTATTTGTCAACTTTTAACATTATGTTTGTGTTGTTGCCTCCAGTGGCAACAACACAATTTCTATATACATGTCTATTAATCCACATGTATTTGTGGAAATGCCGTGCATCCATTCAGTGTATGGATGAGTCCTGGGAGGCTCGCTCTCTCGACGTGCTGCCACTCCATCAACTTCTCAGACGGTCTGTTAGCTTTCATTTAAACACAGGATGTAGATGCCATCCATCTCCCTGCAAAAGGTCAAATCTGTGACTCCAAGTGCTTCCTGGATGTTCCCATTTCTTGAGCTGTGAACTCATTCTTTCAATTTTGGGGTGTTTATTTGCTTCTAAATCATACAAAGATGATGCGGTGAACTCATCTGCAGATAGTGTTGAAACAGCTTCTTCATAGATGGTGCCAGTAATATACTTGACCTCCTTTTGAGGCTCGTAGCTGATACGTCTGTGACTTATCGGGATCAGTTCACACGTGGAGCAGCTAAATGTTTTGACCTTGTACCTCGCTCCATATTAACGGTTAGTTGCGAAACGTGCTTTCCCTTTGTTAATCAAAGCGCTCTTACCATGATCAAAATATTTATTGTAATCTGCCATGTTTTTGTATGATGTCAGTAACTTTGATAGTTTTTCCAGATGTAGTCTTGTTTTTCTGACGGAGCAACAAGAACACAATAACCGAGCGCCTGTGGCTGCAGAGAGTCCCGAGGTTAAAAACGCTCGCTGCCCTCCTCATCGTTCTTGCGCTCCGGGCCGTCCCTGTGCTCGTAGAATCTGTCCCGTCTTTTCTTCCAGAGGCTCGTCCAAATGCGGATTAAATTTTTTGCAGCTGATCATATGTGCATGAACCAGTGGTTTTCTGCTCAGGAGGCAGACCCATGCTGATTTACACTCGGTTAATCAGCTAATGGTTTCAACCAAGTAAATGACATTAATTAACTGGTGGGAACACCTGCCTCGGTGGGCGATCTGATTGGGATCCCCTGTCCTGTTGCTCCCTGATGGCTACAGAACAAATAACTGCTCTCAGGTTTCCACAGACTGGTTATGATGATTTGTCAGATATAAGGACCGCAGAATGAGCCAGGCTGTTTAAATTAGGATCTTTCTCCTCTGAAATGCGTGAAATATGTTCAGAATACAGAACATTTTATGTACAAGTTTGTATGAATGTTAGAAATTGAACGTTGTTATTGGAAAATCCTTTCTATTGATGAATTGGTTTTAATGGACAGATGTTATATACATTTCTAATTTTATAGTCTTTTTGTGAGGTTTTAGTTATTACTGGAAGTTGTTACTGGAAAAATATCAGATAAAATGCTTTGCAGCAATACTCGGAAACATGCTTTGGTTTTTAACAAGCGGAGGATTTGGAGATTGCTCGACCGGATTTGGCTGCAGTAAATCTGGAGAAACAATTTGACAGACTTTCAGTGAGTTTTAGAAGAAATGAGTAGCTAAAATCAAAGCTTTTCTTTTTGTCAAGCACAGTTGCAAAAACAATTTGCAGACTAAATATGATAGATTAATGATTGGCTTAATATTCCACAGCTGGTTGTTCGCCGTTTGCTCTCTCCTCTTACCCCCCCGAGGAGCAGTAATCACGCATGACGAGCAGGAAGTCTCTTGGGAAGACATCCTCCAAGCACGCACTCACACACTGTGTTACCTGTCTGATTATTACTGGAGAGGATTATGAGTGTATTAGCTGCTTTGCCTTTATCCTCCATGTTTCTGTCATGTCTTGCCAGGATATCTGTTTTCCATATTACAGAGAACAGAAGTGTTTGCTTTCATGAAACTAAAATCCTTCTTTTTATTTTCAGGAAGTGGAGAGGGAGATCTCCTTTCGGACAGAGTGTGGACTATACTACTCCTACTATAAACAAATGCTGCACGCCCCATCAATACAAGAAGGTATGCACTGTGATCGCAGGTTTGTATTCATGACAGTTGTCATTTCTTCACAAACACAACTTAGAGGGTCAAAATGATCCAAGATCTTTCCACTCCAACAAAATAGTGTGTGGAAAGAAAAGCTGAAGTGGATGTTACAAGAAGCTGTAGTGTCCAGGTGTTAATCGAAAAGTGGTGTGTGTGTGTGTGGTGGGAGATACCATTGGTTCATCTACAAAAAACAATCACAGTCGGGTTTGAATCCCGGTGACCTCAAGGTCAGAGGTCATGTTTTCTGAATCTTGCGATTGCAGTAACTTGAGTACAAGCTGACGTGGAATTTTTAAATGGACACCATACGTGTATCTACTTGGAGGCGGAGGGGCAGCGCTGGTGGCCGCCGGTATTTTTTAATCTATTTAGCCATTTACCAATTACCTGAGAATCATTCAAGCATAAAAACGTCAGCATTAACTGCAGATTGCTGCCTCGGCTGCACATCCATGATGCAAAGGGATGCTCCTGATGATGATGATGATGATAAATAGACAGCGTGGAGCAGGTAGCATAAAACAACTTTAAAATCTCTAAAATGATTATAAATTGATATCTGAAGTAGTGTTTTTTTAACTACTGCAAGTCTCACACATAAGACCTGCAAAGTATCTCCTCTTGTTCCATATTTTGTTCCCTGAATCCCTCCCTGAAGTAATTCCCTTTCTTCTTGTCTTCTATTACTCCCTCCACCAATTCTCATCTACCTCACTCCCTCCATCGCTCTGTCTTCCTCCCTTCACTTTTCCCTCATTATCACACCCCGTTCAGTCCCATCTCCTCACTTATTAATATCTCCTTCTCTTATTTGCCAAATCACAACAACAGTTGCCTCAAGGTGCTTTATGTTGTAAGGTGGACTCTACAATAATACAGACAGAGAAATGAGGAATATACAAGTGTTTCCATTACTATGTAAGTTTGTTTTAAATAAAAAGAAAAAAAGTTTATTCAATAAATGAATTCAGGCCATTGACAATTTCATTCAGAGAGAGTTATTTTATCAATTTTGAAATAAATTTCATACTGAAATAAACAGCACTTACTTATCCAGCCTGCTGGAAACAGATTATTCCAATTTGGTTCCTTAATAAACTTTTGGCCTGTTTCCATCATGCCTGATCTGCTGGTGATCGCTCCTTCCTCTTAAATCCAGTCTATTCATTTTAAATAGTTGGAGTCACTCTGAAGGGAAACACAAGCTCCCAGCAGCCCAGCTCTCTGAGCTGATGAACGATGAGGCACATTTGCCTTTTTTGTACAAAACTGTGACTATCACCAGTCAGTGTGTTCAAACCAGCAGCAGGCGGTCAACAGGTGACACAGTGAGAACGATGTATGCAGGTAAACTCGAGCTTCCACCGAGCTCCTCGGTCATAATAATAATGATACATTTTATTTATAGGCGCCTTTAAGACCCTCAAGGTCACCTTACAATAACACAAGGTGGAACAGACAGAAGGGAAGCTGAAGAAGAGCGGAGTGTACGGTGGGGTGAGTATGTGTGGAAGATTGGATAGATATGGAGGAGCGAGGTTATGAAGCGCTTTGAAAGTGAGAAGCAGGATCTTGAAATTGACACGGAGGTGAACTGGGAGCCAATGGAGCTGTTTAAGAAGAGCTGTTCTATGTTCAGTGGATCTAGTTCTGGAGATAATACGAGCAGCTGTGTTTTGAACTAACTGCAATTTATGGAGGGATTTATGAGGTAGACCACAGAGAGGAGAATTACAGTAATCTAAACGAGATGTGACAAGAGCATTGATGAGTATGGAGGTACTGTTTGGAGTGAGCGAGGGACGAAGGCGGTTAATATTACGGAGATGAAAGTAGGTAGACCGAGTGATATTATTTACATGTGCTGTGAAGGACAGAGTGCTATCGAGGATGAGACCAAGACTCTTAACCTGAGGGGAGGGTGTGACAGGGTTATCAATGGATAACGAAAGACTGGTTGGAACTGTAGTCAGTTTGGATCTGGTGCCTTAAAATGAATTCTGTTTTATTGCCATTAAGTTTAAGAGAGTTGTGAGTAAACCAGATCTTGATTTCACTTAAACAGTCTGAAGTGGATGTGGGTGGGAGAGTATATATCACAGAAACACACACAGGTTAGAGTCCAGCCAAATGTGTAGAGGTCTTTTCGGGGGAGTCCTCAGGCTCCTCTCGCTGCTGGTTCGGCTTCCACATAACAACTCGCTCCAAACACTCTTCGGTATAAATTTGCAAACTCTCCAGATCTTCGTCACAGTCCTCCAGAGAGCTGAACTTTGTGGAAATAAAGAATGTATTTTTATTATCTTTAAAGCTGTCTAGAAATAAACTGTCTGAAATGCCGGTAACCAGTGCCGTGCTGCCGTGGTCGATACCGCCGAGTCTTGTGTCACTACAGCATAGCATCACCCGGGACCTACAGTTTTTCTGTAACTTCTTGTTTTAGGAAGCTAGCTTTTGTTAGCACCTTCCTTTGTACATGGTTGCCAACACCAGGTGGCTCTCTCTATCCATACTTGTAAGGAAAAACTGTTTTTCACTCCATTATTTCCACCCGACCAAACAAATCACTGCACTTTTCTCATGATGCACAGTCTGGTCTGAGGGAAATTAGCCTAATTATTTTGTTCCCATTACCATGTGAAATTCCTTGTTGGAAATGTGCCTAATTTTCCACTAAGGCAAATAATTGAGCTGTAGTCTAATCAGTTGAGGAACTGGCTGACCTCCCTTCCCGTCCCTTTCTATGTTCCCTTGTTTTTCTGTCACAGCACAGCAGCTTGTTATCCTACTACTGTAGTTTTTTGGTGTTATGGATGAAGCGCTGAAGTGACGGCAGGTAATGGAAGAAGTGGGAAATGATAGGGATGGGCATAGGAAGAAAGTGAGAAAGGAAGCAATAATTGAAAAGGCAAGAAATGAAAGAAAAGGAGGGATAAGTGAAGGAAAGATGTAATGAATAAATGAGCTAAAATAGGAGAAAGAATCCAGATGAGCGAGCAAGGCAGGACACAGAGTCAGGTGGAAAAAGAAAGGCATGACAGCAAACGGCGTAAATGAATGAACAAAGTCGAGTGGGTCATGCGTGTGGGTGGTAATGTGCACTTTGTTTATGCAAAACCGTGCTGGTTTTTATGGTTTTCCATGGATCAAGAACACAGCGGAAATCAGGCTGACACATCCCAGCCTGCAGCAGAAAGTCAGCCCTCGCTCCTCGCTCCATGTCACACTTTGTTTCAGTCAAACCCAGTACATGGTGATGATACTGCATGGAGTAACCAATATGGATTAATGCTATCAGTGCGCGCATCAGCTCATATAACACCAGCAGCAGTGTTTTCTGTGACAGAGTAATGTTAAAATGTCATTCTTTTCTATATGTTAGTGTTATTTTGGTAATTCTTGCCATCATTCCCTTCTGTAATAATGCCATTGCACCAAAGCAATTTAGAACATGTAGCAGCATAGCTTTAAAAGTCAGATGAGGCAAGAGACAAAACACCACTTCGTCAATCTCATTTGGAAGAGGAAAAAAGAACAAGACACAGCCTAACATAATCACCAACACTTTGTGCTTTCATTCTGACCTCCTGTGGTGGTATTAGTGATCCAGGTATATAGTGAAAGATCATTCCAGGTGTATTCCCTTTGAGTTTTTCATGTTAAAGTGGAGCTTTTACTTTCACTAGAGTATAAATAATTATTAATTATGTTGTACTTTTTTTTTTTCCTGTCTGAAAGAAGCCAGATTAGTTCGCTTCCTGTTCAACCAGCTTTCTTCTGATTGGCTGCACCTCATAAATAGGTCTATGTTTCTTCTCTTGAATATGTATGATGTCATGTCATGGAGCGGGGATATACCTAATACGGTAGTCTTACGTTGCCTGTCCCAGGAAGCCCCACCCACCCATTTGCCTTCTATAATTTTTCATGTGAGGCAGCCAGCCAATCAGTAGAAAGAGAAAGTTGGTTTAACGGGGGAGGAGCAAAAACAGCTCATTCTAGTCAGTGGATGAACCGAGGAGCTTCGCCATTCCCAGCATAGTCTAAAGATGAATTTAAAATGTGCAGAGGTAATGTAGTACAGTAGCTTTAAATCGTGTGGCGAGTCCACAATAATAAAACCAAAAAACAAATATTAGGGAGACGCGTCTGACTAGCTAAAGCATGAAAAAGGAAAAGATTTGGTTAAAAATGAGCAAGAAGACCTAAACTTTAAATCTTTTTGAAGGATGTGAGAGCGGGGCATAAAGTGAGGGGAGACGAGGGCCCCTTGCCTCTCCACTTTTGATGCCCTTGGCAGCTAAGTAGTAATAAACCTAAATTATAGTTTAAACCTCAATTACTGGAAAACAGAGGCTTTTTTTTCCCATTTAATGGAGAAGAAACCAGCTGTGTGCAAAACAATGATGTAATATGTCCTTTTAAATATTTCCCCGTTGACACATCCAGCATCCCACATTAGCATTCATTTGGAGTAATGTTTTTGGCAGCTTAGCAAATCTAAGTCCAATATTTACCTTCTTTTCCTCTTTGATGTGTTCCCACCAGCATCACATAAAAATATCTGGCTGTAAAAAGCTGCTAAGAGCTCGTCTATGTTCCACAGCAAGTCATTAACTTTGCCTGTCTTTGTCTGCTGAAAACCGCACTGACGGGAGGTGAGAGTGGACTGAAACAGTAAAGTTGCAGACCATCGAGCCCAAAAAGCGAGAGCACTTGAAATGCACTAAAGCAGAGGTGATGATAACGCTCTGTGGGTTTGTATTTATGAGCCACATCAGCCACACACTCAGTCAGAGGAAATCGATCGGTTACATACAGTGGAAATCCAGCAGTCCTTAAAGGTGCAGTTTGTAAAACCGGGTCACTTTGTCATGATGCTTTTGTGTTTTTATTACTGAGTTAGTGGAAACTCGAGTCCTAGTTTGTAACAATTTATAAGCAGAATAATGAATAGTTCTGTCAAAAATGGCACATTTTTCATCTTCATGCACAGACGAGGTGCGTGGTCTTGGCCATTAAGTCTCAATTTAAGGCCCAAAGAGATGTCGATGCAAATGAAGAAGGTTGAGAAACCTAAATCAACGTATCCGAGAAATAACAAAAACTTTAAGTGTTGTCAAATCACCTCTCTTAAAAAGAAGATTTATATTTTTGGCTTTTTGCCGTTTTTTTGGTGGTGAGATGAGGGCTGACTAGGATCCAGGCCTCTGCGGTGAGGATACACCCGTCTGTACACGGGGCGCATTTGTTACATTTTTAATGTTTTAAACCAAAAATCTTTTTTTCCCCTCAAAGCTCGTTTTTATTATTTCATGGGGGATGAAGTTGCCCCACAACCCATCTCCAATAAAGCACTGCAGGAAATTTTCACATGCTTTATTTATTAGATTGATGTTTGGGTCATTTAGGGGATTTTGTTTGGGAGAAAAACAGAACAAACTACATTTAGTTTGCTAAAATTCAGGAAATGAAGTGAAGTTTGAAGCGTTCCGAGTGTGCTTTGAGCAATGCAGGAATTTAACTTCAAACAGAACACGCTGTGTTTTTAGTGGTCGATGCAAATTTCCGACCCTGTTTTTTCTCTAATGGCACGAGTCTGAGCTAAATAAATGAGCCAGGTGAGCTTCGAGAAACATTAACACCCCTTCCTCCCTGGCTGTCATAAAGCCAATAATTATTATCAGTTTGTAAAAAAAAAATATATAAATTAAAGAACGGGTGGCATTTTCAAATGGTGTGTTTGTGTGTGTGAATTTTGTGTTTGCAGGGCTCAAAGAAATGATCCATGACAACTTGACAGAATCCAAGAGGACCATTAACCTCTTGCAGCGAATGAATATCTACCAAGAGGTCTTTCTCAGTGTTCTCTACAGATTGTTGCCCATACAGGTAATACAACACTCACCTGTCATCTCGGCTGGTAACACACAAAAGATTAAAGACCTCAGCTACACCAGCTAGACTGTCTGGGACTTTTGTCATTTGTTCTGTTAATTAACACATCCTTTTTATGTGTAGGGGTGGGGGGAGAAAGTAAAGTCACTCTCCAGTGTTTTGAAAAATGTATTTTCTTTTGGCATTATTACTGTAATGATCGTAGTCAAATGAGGAAGTGTTTGAGGCGCAGTGGCGTTCCTTTGTTTTTCTGTCTTTTTAGCTGACATGACTCGGAGCCCTTACACTTGTCACACTGGAGGAAAAGGTTTCTGTATTGGCATAACAATTAACCGAGAAACCGCGACTAAGCTTCATCAGCTGTCTCACCGAGAGACTAGAATGTCAGGGAGTGAAATATCAGACACAACTCTGAAAATGCCACAGTGTTCTCGAGTGCCCGAGTCAGTCGCTGTCACTGTTGTCAACTCTGTGCATTCAATCGCGCTGCCTAATGAACTAATGGCTTCCCTTTGTGTATGTGTGTGTCTGTGTTTTTGTGTGTGTGGCCCAGTCATATTTGGAGCCCGTGTACTTTTATATTTACACAGTGTTCTCGCTCCAAGCTGTGTATGTGATCGCTTTGTACCTCACAGCGTGGCTTCTGTCTGGCTCCTGGCTTGCTGGTGCGCTCACCGGGGTCTGGTACATCCTTAACAGGTGAGTAATAACTATCTGTGTGCGTGACACAGTGAAGGAGGAGCGAGTTAGTCCCTTTCTTCTCGCACTTGACTCTGTCATGGCAGTTTTTCTCTCAATATAACAAAGAGTCCTTTTTTTATTTATTTTATGGATCAACTCTTAAAGGTGCAGTTGGTAATTTTTTTTTAAGGTTAGGTAACACAAAGAAAAGATATTGTACTGATAAATATAAATAGATTAGTGTGTATTTATATCTTCCAACAAATTGATGTTTTCATAAACGAACCACCCAAACAACAAAAAGCAGCAGCTGTTTATAAGCTAACATCATCCTAGCTAACATTAGGCTTGAAAGTCCTAAAAATCACACTTTCTCTAATAACAGTTTGATAACATTCTGACATCATCTGAGAGGTTGTTTTTTTTTTTTTTTTTTTTTTACCAAGAGTCCAACGATATTATATCTACTTAAAAGACATCAAACAGTAGCTAACAGTAGCTAACAGCTGCTAACAGAAGCAGCTAACAACAGCAGTAGCTAGGGTTGCCAACTCCCTGAAAAATAAATAAGGGACACCTCGTGGCCAGGGCCGGGCAACCCAGTTGTCTTCACCCTTCCCAGTGTGGTAGCTCTTTTTTTTTGTGTGTGAAATTATTTTTTAACCATTTGACTTGAATTTGATTTAAGCAGATGCATATTCTTTGTGATATGACCATATGGGAAACAAACGATCATTTAGCCGTTTATTTTTAGCTCAAAATGACAACATTAACACAGTAAAACAGGTCTCTTTCTTAAACAGAAGCCTGTCATGCTTAGCTTTTGAGGATATAAGTAAATCTTTCTTTAAAAGAACTCTGTCCTGCTTAACTTAAAATTATATAAATTAATAGAAAACAATAGAACAAAATCATTCTTGTAACTGTGCACATTTAGTGCATTTAGTACAACTGGCTTCAGTTGAGGTATTATTTCAGCTTTTCTAAAGCTAATCAGGTTTGTAAACCCACTTGTTCCCATGATTACGCATCATAACTCATCATCATTATTCATCTATGTATTACTTTTATGTATTAGTGATCTATTTGTTGTAATCATCTATCCTTGCAGTTGTTTATTACACAAAATAAATTATATTATCACACTTCTGGCCACATAGCGCTGATATTCACTGCACATGCCCATATTAACCTTAACCAGAGGGTTTAAACAACAAACCAGTGTTTACATACCATATCTGCTTCTGCCGTGGCCTGGTGGACAAGAAATTGGTTAAGGGTTCCCCGAGCTTTCACGCCCCTCATGTTCTTCATGTGCCCACCACTAGAAGCATGCCTATGGAAAAAGTGCGCCGGCACACAGTGCAGTGCGCTTTAAAGGTGTTATGGTGTATTTTCCCAGCCAGGTGTTTCCCTTTTCCCATTCCTCCCTGTACTTTTGCAGCCTATTTTTCTTTCTCTGAGCGAACAAACATTGCTGCTCTAATGCTGGGCTTACACTGTGCGATGTTTGGTCCATTTTGAGCCGATTTTTGAGTCGTGCGACCGATTTGGTGATCGGCCCGATTTTGGCCTTCATCGTGCATCGTGTAGTATACGTGGGGTAACGAGAAGCGATTAACACCTCGAGCAGCTCCCGATCATCAATCGCTCGTGAGCCGCTCACACTGCTCACGCGCAAACACGTAAACGTCGGTGAAAAAGACGGCGCAGCACGGCAGTGCAGCGTGTGATCTGGACACAAGCGATGGAGGCACAACTTGTAGAACTTTGGAAAGCTCATCCGAGCCTTTTCGATGTGGCATCACAAAATTATCACGACCACAACAACCGTGAAAATAGTTGGATTTACACTGCTGCTCATTCACAGCTGCCTGATCATGTTTTTTATTAGCAATTTAGCAAAGTTGATGGTGGTGGTGTGTCTGTGTGAGTGAAAGACAGAGGGAGAGAGCGACAGATTTTCTGTTATAACCTTCATGTTATGGAGGCACAGTGTGAGCACTCAGGTCGCATCAGAGCATCGGCGGTATAGTGTGAGACCCTGCATCGTGACCTACCAACTTCTAACCCCTGCGAGTCAATCGTGCAGTTTGAGCAGGAGCTGAATAACGTGACTGAAAATCGCACAGTGTCTGCCCAGCTTTAGGTGTACTGTCGTCCGAGACTTGCACCGCAGTGTCGGCGTTTGTTTCCCTGTTGGCCATGCTTGTTGTTGTGGTCATCTGTTGTCTTCCGGTATTTTCTCCGTAAGCGACCTTTCATCGACCAATGAGATGAGCGGTAATCTGAATTGTCATACTCGAATTGTCATAAGTGTGCTGTCAGCTCATTGGTCACAAAGCAGGAGAGGGGCTGGGAATTATGCTTTCCAACAAAGCGTTAATTCCATAAACATTTATAGACTACTTTTGATTCTCACTGTATTACGGGACAAAGTGCGTCCCTTATTAGCTCAATACGGGACGTGTACTTTTGTTTCTAAATACGGGACGATTCCGTATTTTAAGGGACGGTTGGCAACCCTAGCAGTAGCTAACAGCAGTAGCTAACAGCAGCTAACAGCAGTAGCTAACAGCGGCTAATAATAGCTAACAACAGCTAGTAACGGTGGCTAAAACAGAAGCCTTACTGACAGGTATGCTATTCTCAGAAACACACCTCAATATCAGTGTCATTGGTAAGAAGGGATGTTACTGACTCATACACACCTAGCATCACTCTTAGGTGACCACAACATGTTTGTCCTACAGCGACCACCATAGCTAGGATTATGCTTTTGAATTAAGAGGGTTAAAAAAGTCAGTACTATGTAATTTTTAGCTTCACATGACTAAGTGTGACTGAGGCTTTAGCCACCTGGTGATGGTTAGTCGGTTAAGTTGACAAAGTAGGTTAGCTCCCCTCCTTGAGTTTGGATGAAGCTCTCTGTGAGTCCAATTCCCTGCTGATGTTGATCCTTCATTAGATGGGTTTCTTCTAGCTAATCTTAGCTGATCTTGGCTTACCCGCCTACTTAATCATGACACATTGTTGAATGCTGAAAGCAGTAGCTCATTTGTTTCTTCACATATGCTGTCAGTAGTGAAATACCATCTAAAGCCCCAAAAGTTTTCTTTTCTTTCCTTATGTGAAGTTAAAATCAATTTCTTTGGTCTGAACCAGTCGTTTGTTGACATTGAAGTAAACTTAAGCGATTGCTTTGTGTTGCTCACTGTTGATACTGGGACGCTGGACCGCCACTTGGGAGTGAGCATAAATGTCACATTATTTGTATTTTTGTGGAATGTTTATCCCAAGTGTCTCACACACTGTGCAAATCAATCCACAGGCTGTGAAAGGCAACCGAGAGAGATGGGAAGGTCTCATTGTTTATGTTATATAACAAACCTTGTGTAGCAAACCTTGAAATTTTTGTCAAACCCAGAGTACATCCTACTAGGTTTCAGTTAAAAATCTCCCACAGATGGAAGAGAAGACTTAAGTTCGTATTTTGCATTCACTTCAGACCAATCGTCTGGATTTAGAAGTGATGGGCTGTAAATCCCAAACCGTGGGTGTTTGTTAGCTTGAAGCATCTATCGTCTTCATTTCTTAGATCCGTGACTTCAACACCTGAGCATATACATTATGCAAGTGATCAGTGGGGGTCATACTACACAGATGTTTGCAGGGAACATCAATAATCTGGTTACTCACACATGATCTTTAGCAGCAGTGTGAGCACGAAGGGTCAGAAAAGCTTAAGACATTTCAGGTTATGTGAGAGTCGTGTCCTGCAGAGTCTCCTCTAAACTTCTGCTCTTTACTGTAGTGTGAGCAGAGTTTTAAACACTGTGTTAGATGCACTGCACATCAGCAGCGGACTTCTTAATAGATCTGGAATATTGACAAAATATTTCATCCTTGTTTTTAGCTTCCTACCAGCTGGTTGTGCCTAATAGACGGCCTTCAAGCTGGCCTACACCCAAAAACACCAGCGGTGAGAGATTTCAAGTTTGGGTCCAAACATTAAGTAATGTCAGTGACATCATGTGGCTTCTGACATATTTGGCGTTATTGGTCAAAGAAAAGTTTCCAGGAGAGTTTTTAATTTCCCTGAATGTTTTTAAGCATTTCAAGAACAAATTTTATTTTCCTAATTTCTTTAGTTAGTTGTTTAATTTGTTGATCGAGGGGGTGATTAGCTCAGTGCACACTCAGCAACTTCTCAGTCACCACGCAGCCAAGCTTTGAAGCACTCTGAACTCTACTTTGTGGTCTATTTCAGTCTAAATGAGAATTTAATGTCAAAATTAAAATCCCTGCTATATGAACAAAGACTTAAAAGTAGCAATTAACACTAAAATTAAGTGTAATAAAAAATTAAGCTATCATTTGAGAGTGAATGCACTCATAGTCATCAGTATAATCAGACTTCTGGAATCTGGAAACCTATGGGCTCTGTGCATCTTTTGTATACAGTCTATGTGTAGGCCAGAATTTGCCAGTCCATCCTGAATATTGATTCAGCAGTTGCTTTTTTTAATACGAATGTGTCAAATATATATAGATATTATTATTATTATTATTATTATTATTATTATTATTATAGGAAAATAAAGGCTTTAAATTCACGCAAGGAGTTGACTTGATGTTGCACAGGTGCTCACTCATGTCTGCTTGGTGAGTATCATGAGAATGAGGGTACAGTGAGTGGAAGAAGTGACTGACTGCCATAAATAAAGCACTTTGCTTCGTAGCTGAAAGTTGGTCGCTAGTGGACCTTCCAGGTTGTGTAGCTAATCCACTGACAAACCAAACAGACACAGTGCATGTACGGGACAAGCAGATCTAAATTCTTCTTTTGTTAGTTTGTGTTACTGGTGTGTGGATTTGCCTACTTTTCTGTACTGTTGGAAGTGCACTAAAGTTTAAACAGTCTCAAAAACCCTCCTGGCGTTTTCTCTGCTGTCCATTTGGAGCTGTAAACGCTGTACGACCTCAGAGCGCTTTGAAAACTGCCGCCATGATCTCAGGATTTAATTTTTTTTCTTTTTCTCAAGCCACCAGAAGTTCCAAACTTCTGTTAGGTTTCCTTCACGGTGTTTAGCTGAAACGGTTTAACACCATCTCTCCATCGCTTCATCAATCATTCTCCTTTCAGGGTAGATACTACTCGTGTAGAGTTCACCATCTCCCTCAGAGAGAACTGGTCTTTGCCCTTCTTAGCGCTGCAGGTCGCCGCTATCACCTGTTACCTCAGACCCCAGCTCATCACATTACAGCAGGTAAGCGCAGAGCTATAGCCCAAGCTCGCCACATAGATCAGCCTGATGAGGCGAGCCACTCAATAATTTAGAAGTACAAGCAGCACAGAAGAAATGTGATCAGGCAGTGTGGCTGTAGTTATGCAGATTAATCGTCTAACCCTGTGTGCGCGCGTATGTTTGTGTTTCCTCCTCAGAAGGTGATGGTGTGGCTGATGTATGTGACGACGTTCTGTTTCTGTCTGACCTGGCAGTTCAACCAGTTCATTCTACTGGTTCAGGCTCTCGTCATTTACACCCTGGACTGCGGTGACTTCTTAACAACTACACAGGTAAGAAGGACCAGATATTTGCAGGTTTCTAGCTTCTGGTTATAGTTTCATGTGTCCCGATCAGTGGCACTAAGCTTGTATAGGTGCTAAAAAATTTGACATATATTAAACACTAATATGTTATAAAGTGTAACAGCTGACTTTAGGTGTCCTGGCAACAATTGTCTGTTTTTCCATTGTTGAGCTATGAGAAAAATCCTTTCGGTCTGCAAGTAATTTGTTGCAGAGCTGAGTTAGTGAGACTCATATTGAGCTATCTTTCTGTACTCATAGTAGATATGTTATCTAAAGTCTGAAGAGTAGGCAGAGATAACAGAGTTGATGGGGTTAGATTGAGGTTGAGGTGAGGTTTTGCATCATGAGAGGTGAGAAAAGGTGAAGAGAAGCTGAAATAATCAAAACACTTGCATTAATTGGAAAACAAGAAATGTTACTTTCCTGGGAATCTATTCCTGAGGGTTGGAAGGACAGACATATGTTCACGCACAGTTCACCCGCTTTACAAACACCAGAATTTTCTATTCCTCACTTGCTCGCAGCTGTGTTTGCAATGCAGATAGTTTCTGTCTTATTTGCTCAAACTATCCCTCTCTTATACATTTTCACTCGTGTGCAGTGGAGGTGAGTAGGATTTGATTTGTGGCGCTCACCTCATTAAAAAACCATGATGTCCAACTGAAATTGGAATTCTTACTTTGTTTGTAAGAAAAAGAACAATAAGTGGAACATTTATTGCAACACACCAGGTGTATTTTTGTTTGTTTTATCTCATGTTTTAAAACGTATCCCACAGCCTTGCTTTTATGCAGCTTAACTCAGGTAGTTGTACAGGTAGCTGGAACACCTATGGAGCGTTCCTGCTTGTTGAATCTCAGGTGGTGGCCTAGGGCCTGCTGTAAGGTCACCAGCTGGAAGCCACTTCTCACTGATGTTTTGCTGTGTTAGGCCCGGAGCATGCTGCATACCTCTGCGTGAGGTATTCATAGAGACAGAGCTGCTGCTGCTGCTATTGCCAGCACACAGAGAGAGAGTGCACCTGGAAAAAAGTCGGCTTTCTCACAAAGTTCTGCTGACTTTCTGACTTTCCTCCACCCTCTTCTTTTTAACATCCAAATGTGCAAATAACTATTAAATAATATTTAGGCTACATCCATTTGTGTCTGGGATATTTTCAGATACATTTGGTCTGCAAGAGGCCGTGCGAGTCTTGCACAGTTGAGGAAAGCAGTGTTTTCAGCCTTGTTTCCAGAACATCTCCAAGTGGACAGGCAGCAGCAGGGACATCACCCTATTATCCCTGCAGCTGGCTCTGTGATACTTTTTCCCTCCACATTGTTTCTCCTCCTCTGCGTTCTCTGTCAGCTGCTTTCTGGCCTCTTTTAACTTAACTCGGGGAAACTCCAGTAACATGCAGGTCTCCATATGTGCATCTCTTCCTTCCAATTTCCAGTCAGGATGGTGGTCCTATTCTTGGCTGATTGATATGTTAGAGGCTGGACATGTCTGAGGTGACCAGCTCCATGGATTCATGGCGTTTTGCTGGCTTCAAGGTTTATGCCAGTTTCTGCATCACCAGGTCAATTAGCTTCAAAAACCTCAGAGAGAGGAGAGCGGAGCCAAAGCTGTGCATCTTAAAGTTTTTCATCCTCCAACTTTTCTATTGTTACACCTTTCCAGTTATTTATGGTAGATTAACATTCATTTTACGTCTGGGCTGATGTAGCCTCGGTATACTGTGTGGCCTTTACTTGCTAGCATTCCCCAAGCCTCATGTTGGCCCCGTCATTATTTAAAGAGTGTGTCGAGTACGGTGGCTGGAGGTGAAAAGCTCGAGAAAAAAATAACTAGTTTTTAACTGGCAGAACAAGGTGTAGTGGTTGACACATTCATCTAACGTGTGATTTAGGACAGATTCCTGTTTTAATTCTGAGAGGAAACACAAACCCAACCTCAGCGGGCCACAGGATCTAATGGGAGGCCAGTTTAAATGGGAGGGTTACATCAGGTAGTGAATCCTTTGCCAAATCAAATACGCAGATGTATCTGCTGCTTCGGAAATAAAGGACGGGCTAAAAGAACTGTGACAGCAGTGAAAAGGACACACCAGGAGGGAAATGAGAGGAGTGGAAAATAAATGCTCAGTGCGTCACAGGAAGGCCTCCAGCAGCAAAACGAAGGGATGGGTCAGGGTCACCTGATCCAGCCTTAACCATAAGCTTTGTCATTTTTATCAGAGGGTGTCTGTCTCCTGAATCCAAATGAGAATTCAGATATCTGAAGGCTCTAACTTCCATTCTTTTGGAAATTCTAGCTGTCACAAATAAGTCGGCAGTCTGAGTGTGAGGTGCTCTTTAAGGATGAGATTATAATGTCTTTATAATATTAACATGTTCTTTGATTTTTTTGCAACCTTGTTAGAATCCATAGCATGCTGCTGTTTTATTTAAAAACAAATGATTTCAACCATACACACAGTCTACGGTCTTCTTTCATTGGTCCACTTTTGGACCAGGCTGTCAAGTCAACACTCACTCGCTTCTTCTTTACGTTGTTGGTGTGTTTCTCCAGGTGACTACGCTGTACCTCGTTCAAGTGAGCAGCCTGCTGAGTGTGTGGTTCCTCCAGTTCTGTAACTCCATGATACTGGGATCACTGGTCCTGAGCTTCATAGTAGCCGCGCTCTTCATCAGACATTGCCAGGTAAGCGTTATGAGTGATGGGTACGAAGAAGAAAAGTCTGAGATTAGAGAGGGTAAGGATTTGGAAAAAACAGAGCGCTGACACTAAAAGAGTCATGGTGGTGGAAACTTGTTGACACACAGGTAGAAGATTATCTTTTACATTTTGGTTGAAATCTGCGTGCTGCAGATGGTGTTTGCAGAAGATAATTTGTATGCTGGAGAAACAGTTTCCTGTCAGGTCTGAATGTAATTTAGTTCAGTCTTATCACAGTAACTTTTGCACAAACATTTAATGTGACAGGATGAAAGGTTGAGATTCAGGAGTAGGGAGATAAGTATTTAAATTCCTAAAATAAATGTTATTTTAGGAATGACATGCTCTAATTGCAAAAGCTTTGCTTTTAGCAGTCTTTCACAGATCTGTGCTCACATGTCTTGGACTTAAGTCATGCTTAGATGATGAATCTGGTGGCTTTACACTGAACATGCAGCTTACCTTGGACTAAACACCAGCCTCTCGACATCATAAGCATATCTACGGTCAGCAAATTGATGTAATATTTTGGTGGTTTGAAGAAAAATCTCAGCTGTAACTAATGAATGATAATGTCCAGATTTTTGGCTGCAGTCTGGTTATTTGGCAGGCAGGTGTCTGTACTCACTGGCACTGTGCTGCAGTTCAGGCTCGGGGTGTTTTAGATTCAGAAAATGCATATTTTTAGGGAAATATTCTTAGTTAAGCAAAGCCATCAAGAATATAAAGGATTTTATTTCTGTGAGTGAAGTAAGAACTAAATACCACGTGCCTGTGCACTGCTGTACATGGGCTGTTCCTTGTGTTTTCATAGCATTGCCCTAATCTTCTGGACAAATTTGGCAGTCATTTGATAACATGCATAAACTGCTGGGAGACCAACAGAGGTGCAGAAAGGTTTCAAAAGAAAGTAGATTGAATCTTTTTATGGCTTTGATGGTTCTGCTTGTACTTGGATGAAATTGCCATGCCCAGTGTATTGTTGTCGACCCTGACTCGCCAGCAGGGTAGTGCGTATTTTGGCCAAATGGATTTTTCAGTTTAACACAGTGATTCACATTTGGAAACAATTAGACTTTCTTTCAGAAACTGTTGTGATTTCCTCCTTCATCATCATGTTTTTAGAATCAAAGTAGGAGCTGCAGGGACCTTTCCTTGCTCCAGGCCCTGCTGTTTCTTTGTTGCTTTTTTCCACTATGATAGTCAGTTTATTTTTAATGTTAAAACTGTAAAATCCTATTTGGACTTCAATTCAATTCAATTTTGTTTATACAGCAGCAAATCACAACAACAGTCGCCTCAAGGCGCTTTATATTGTAAGGTAGACCCTACAATAATACAGCAGAGAAAACCCAAACCATCATACATATAAGCAGGTGTGTTGGCGACAGTGGGAAGGAAAAACTCCCTTTTAACAGGAAGAAACTTCTGGCAGAACCAGGCTCAGGGAGGGGTGGGGCCATTTGCTGCGACGGGTTGGGTGAGAGAAGGAAGACAGGATAAAGACATGCTGTGGAAGAGAACCAAAGATTAATAATAACTAATGATTAAATGCAGAGAGGTGTATAAACACATAGTGAGTGGAAAATGTGACTGAAGACTCATGGGAATCCCCCAGCAGCCTACACCTATTGCAGTGTAACACCAACCTTATAAACAGTACTCTAATCTATTATCAATGGTCATTGATCAGTGGTTGTTGATCAATGGTGATGACAATTTGCAAAAATAATGATCAATATTAATGGTCAAGAATCTGAACTCACAGCCCACTGTTCATCAGTGGTGCTGGTTTCAGTCATTGTTCAAAGGTACTGTTTATAAGGTTGGGTAAACCTGCAGTCAGCTGAGACTGAAGAAGTCACTTGGATGAGTCACGAAACGTTTCTCCCACTGAAAACGTTACATCCAGATGAACAGAATTAACTTTTTGGGATTTCCTTTCCTGGATGATTGAGCGTGCATCAAGACATCTGAAACAGGATATTTCTAATTTTAGAGACATTGTGCAAGTGGAAGAAAGCATTCCTAATTTTTGTTTAATATGTGCATTGAAGGACATGTCCTGGTCAAAAATGACTCCAAGGTTCTTCACAGTGTTACTGGAGGCCAAGGTAATGCCATCCAGAGTAAGAATCTGCTTAGATATTTTTAAGATTTTTAGGGCCGAGTACAATAACTTCATTTTTTGTGCACTTCGTCTTTATGTCTTTAAGACATTCCTGCAGTTTAACTACTTGGTGTTAAACGTCTATCGTTTCATTTTACGCTATCGTTTGTCACAAAATAAGCTGTTTATGGCAATATTTTTTTCATGGTTTTGATGTCACTGTAGTGGCTATATTAATTTCTTAAAGTTCTCTTTCTCTTATATTTAATATAACCACACTACAGACGGACAAGCGGCTGTTTTTATGCGTTGTGGTTAGCAACAATGATGGTAACAGCATCGCGTGTCCGCTTGTTTATGTTCCACATAAACCTTTCACAATAAAGCTCAAGATCCTGTTAAGACTTTTCAAAATAAACTGAATCACGTGAAAGAGGAGATTATTTACGGATGAGAATTAAAAAAGAGCCGTCAGGTGCTAAAAAATAAACCTTAGACTCAAACGTTCCCGCAAGTCGAGCTGCCCGAGATTCGCAGAATTTACAGAAAATGTTACATTTTTGTGATTTATATCGTTATCGGACGATAGAATTCTTATATCGGGATATGAGATTTTGGTCATATTGCACAGCCCTACTACAGCGTGCTCTAATCGCTCTAATAGGATATTATGGTCGACAGTATCGAACGCTGCACTGAGGTCTAGCAGGACAAGCACAGAGATGAGTCCACTGTCAGAGGCCATAAGAAGATCATTTGTAACCTTCACTAAAGCTGTTTCTGTGCTGTGATGAGCTCTGAAACCTGACTGAAACTCTTCAAATAAACCTCTGCAGATGATCTGTTTTACAAGAGTTTTTGAAATGAAAGGCAGGTTGGAGATTGGCCTATAATTAGCTAAGACTGCTGGGTCAAGAGATGGCTTTTTGAGTAACGGTTTAATTACTGCCAGCTTGAAGGCCTGTGGTACATAACTGATTATTAGAGATGGGGTAATCATATTTAAGACTTAAGCATTGACTTGCACCTTTCCAACATTTTTAGGAATCTCTCAGTTGAACACAGCTTGTTAAATGCAGTATTAACCTATATTTCATACCCTCCGTGGCCGATTTTCAGTTTTTACATAAAATGATGGTGTTACTCAAAGAACTACTTAAACCTTTACAGCATTTGCGTCAGACTTATTTGTGACTTATGAAATAATGATTTTATCCAACTTCTGGTTTGAAACTTGAGGCATATTAGTTTGTGAAACAGGTATTCTGTCCTCTGTTGATTTAGCCTTGGCAGACAGTGTTCTCATTTAATGCCTGGATTAAGCTTTAAATGCATACCTTTGATGTTGGATGGTTTTGATGACAGCAGGTCTGCAAAAAAGATGCACCTGGCATACTGATGATGAGTCGACATGCTAATAGTGGCATTCAGTAGCACAACTGGCAAAATACATCCAATTAGAGGTTGTTAAGTTGGGACTGATAGTTTCCCTACAGTCACCTCAGCTGCCTAACCCTGCTGTCGGAAACACACAAATAGTATTCCAGGGCAAATCTCCAGTTTACAGAGGCGGAAGATCTCAGAGGCGTGCTGTGAGACTATTTCTAATTCAGTGGAAAAGCTGATAGATTCTCACATTTTGTGTCCAGAATCATCAGAACGGCTTCAGATGGAAAAACTCCCACAAAAAACACTGAGATGTCCATCTGTGAAGCAGTGGAGTGCTCTGTGCTCTGCGCAGTATCCGTGTTGTAAATAACCACGGGCATTTGAACACGATCAGTAATTACTGTGCTGACTAATTAGTTTGGTAGGGGTCACTCTGTGAGAAGTTGCAGCAGACTGTGCGCAGGATGAGACAATATAGACCTGAAATCTTAACAGTTTGCAATGCGAAGTATGAAAGAATTTTGGGAAATAACGAGGACGTTTTTCTGACATCTATAAATGATTGCAAAATGTGCAAAAATAACGAGCATAAAAATATATTTATGCATGCTTGATGATTTTAATATGTGCTTAGATATTTACAGAGAAATGACCCATGCTGTTAGGGGTTAGTGGTCTGATGCATGTACTCATATATATACTGTGTGTATGGAAAGATGTCTGCTTTCCTTACATTTTTAATTGCAAAAAACTGCAGTGAGACCATAACAGATGCACTGACTAACCTCTTGTTATTCTGTGTGTGTGCATGTAGCCTGGTGTAAAGACTGGAAGCCTGGTGGTTCGTTTGGGCAAAGTTCTTCTCCACAGTGCCCTGGTTCTCCTCCTCACGGTCACCATCAACTACCTGGCCAAGGTGCGGTGTTCTCTTCCTCCCTCGCTCATCTTTTAATACACTTTCTCTCCATTTTCCTCTTTTTTTTCTCCCATCATATGCTCATTATCTTGTGATCTGTCCCTTATTTCACAACACACTCCTTCCTTCTTATCCTCATCGGTAATCTTGGTTTAACATGCTGATCTTTAGTCCTGACCTGATGATCTTCTCTTTGCGTGTGTGCTTACAGAAAGCCCTCCAGCTCCAGTCAGACGAGCACATCTTTAAATTCATCAAGTCAAAGTTTGCTCTGGGTTCGACCAGGTATGAACACCTCCTCTAGTCCTGACCACATGTGAAATACGGGCTCGCTCCCAAACAGTAGTGAAAACTGCATATACAAAGTCTGTATTGTGTGCACTGGTACATAACTCCTGACTTGATCCAGAGTGACTGTATTATTCACTAAGCACCAGTATTGTAGCACCTGGAGTGTTATGGTGTGTGAATAATAGATGGCCGGGTAACACTAGCAGACCTCCCATTGATCAGATACTGTGTGTGTGTGTGTGTGTGTGTGTGTGTGTGTGTGTGTGTGTGTGTGTGTGTGTGTGTGTGTGTGTGTGTGTGTGGAACAGTTCAGCCACTGGATGGCTGCTCCAGGGTGGCAGATAACACAGCTCACAACTTGGTGCTACACAACTGGCGCTTCAATTATTCAGGAGTCTGTGGAAAATGCAGTGCATACTCTATCGCTGCCTCTCTCTGTTCCTGTTTCTCTCACTTGCGTTGACTTATTTCGTCTCTCCCAAGTGTTTCTTTTTTTAATCCCTGGAGTCTTGCACCGCGTTTGCGTTTATATCAACTCTGTTTAGTTATTTATCCTCGTGGTGGTTTATCAGCATGTGGAGGATTGTAACTGCCAAGAATAAAATTAAAACCAAAATATCAGTTCATGTCATATTTGTTTAATGTTGTGTTTCTGAATTCCCACTTTTTGTTTTTGCATAATGTTGATGTACTTAATGTTATATAGGTTTAATTTATTTTGTCAGTTTGTATCTTTCATATATCAGAAGTCCAATGTGCAAAATATTGACCTAAAAAAAAGTTTATACTGTACAGACATGTCAGGGTTGATGCAATCTCATAGTTTTTTTTCTTTTTTCTTCTTTGGCCTTCTTTTGGAGCCTTTTTGGTCGAGCGCAGAGAAAGGATGCTGCAAATACCAGACAAAGGATGTTAACGACATGAGGGAAAGAGGAGGAGCTTAGAGGAGGTTCATGGATGTCATGAACGAGGACACACAGAGGGTTTTGGTGACAGCGGAGGGTGGTAGGAGCGGGGTGAGATGCAGGCAGATGATCCACTGTGGCGGCCCCTAAAGGGAGCAGCCAAAACAGGAAGAAGTGGTCATGTTATTTATTTTTCCATAGTGATTTAAAAGTAATGTAAAAAACATACAATTCATGCACATTTTTGCAACTGTCCTTTTTAGAATAGAATAGAATTCAATAGAATAGAATTCAACTTTATTGTCATTGCACATGCACAGGTACAGGGCAACGAAATGCAGTTTGCATCCATCCAGAAGTGCTTAGTGATATAGATATATTACAATATATATTAGCAATAATATAGATATGTGAGTATATTACAGAAATGGGTCTATTATGGTATGTTATAATGTACACGGTATGAAGTATGTTGTGAATATTCTATAACTATAAGTATGTACAGGCTGTATGATACAAGTATTACAGGATATGAACAGATATAAATATGAAAACTATACAGAATATGAAATAAATAACTTTACAGGAATCTGAGATAACAGCTATACAGAAATGGAATATGCAAGTTGTAAACAGTTGTAGGGTTAAAGATTATCGTATGTACAGAATGATTGTTTACACAGAGCTATACAGTAGTGCAGTTAAGATAAGTGAGGGTGTGGATAATTTCTACAGAGGCTATATAAAGTGCTAGTGGTTGTGAGTGGTGGTTCAGTCCATGTTATTATTGTGTGTTTGAGGGTACAGTTGTCCATTGTGGGTGTGTGTATGTTCAGTCCATGAGTTTAACGTGGGTCAGATGTCAGGAGGCAGAGTTCAGGAGTCTGACAGCTGTGGGGAAGAAGCTGTTCCGGTACCTGGTGGTCTTAGTCCGGAGGCTCCTGTAGCGCCTCCCAGAGGGCAGGAGGGTGAAGAGTCCATGTGATGGGTGACTGGGGTCTTTGATGATTTTCCCAGCCCTTTTCAGACACCGCTTCCTGTAGATGTCTTTTATGGCAGGAAGTGGTGCTCTGGCGATGCGCTGGGCAGTTTTCACGACCCTCTGCAACGCCTTCCGGTCCGAGGCAGAGCAGTTCCCGTACCAGATGTTATACAGTTTGTCAGGATGCTCTCGATGGTGCAGCGATAGAAGTTCACCAGGATGTCTGAGGACAGGTGGTTCTTCCTCAGAGTCCTCAAGAAGAAGAGGCGCTGGTGAGCCTTCTTGACCAGCTTGGAGCAGTTGGTCGTCCAGGTGAGATCCTCGGAGATGTGGACTCCCAGGAACTTGAAGCTGCTCACACGCTCCACAGCCATCCCCTTAATGTGGATGGGTGGATGTGGTCAGCATTCTCCTGTAGTCCACGATGGCTCCTTGGTCTTTCGGTGTTAAGCAGCAGGTTGTTTTGTGTCGCACCACTCAGCCAGACGATCCACCTCTCCCTGTAGGCGGCTCATCGTTGTCACTGATGAGGCCAATCACCGTGGTGTCATCTGCAAACTTAATGATGGTGTTGGAACCATCAGCAGGTCTGCAGTCGTGGGTGAAGAGGGAGTAGAGGAAAGGGCTCATCACACAGCCTTGTGGTACACCGGTGTTCATTGTGATGGTAGATGAGCAGCGGTATCCAGCCGGACATGTTGGGGCGGTTGTCAGGAAGTCCAGTAACCATTTGCAGATGAGGGAACTGATGCCCAGGTCTGTCAGTTTCCTGATGAGTTGTGAGGGGTGGATTGTATTGAATGCTGAACTGAAGTCTATAAACAGCATTCTGGCGTAGGTGTTGTTGTTGTCCAGGTGTGAGAGGACAGAGTGCAGTGCGATGGAGACTGCATCCTCTGAGTTCCTGTTCTGACAGTATGCGAATTTAACTGCACAAGTTGTGTTTCCAGATTGTGGATTAGGTCGTTTAACGTGGATTACTAACTTATCCTGATTTGATTGGCGGTTTTTAGCAGCCTGAAGGTTTATTTCTTTTAGTGCTTCAGAGTTCTTATTGTTCCTAGATTCCTAGAACTAAAGGAGTTAGTGTCCCTGCTATAGACAGTATAAAAGATTTTTGATCTCTGCAATTTCAAGCTTCATTGTCTAACATTAGTCAAATAACCCACTGAAAATGCCCAAAAGGCATTAAAACTGTGGGGAAGTCCACTTGAGTGGGACCTAGCAGAATCCTAGCTCACTGTATCAGGACACCTGCTAAAGTAGCCACGCCCCCTCTTGAGAAAATTCCCCCCACCCAGAGTTGTTATGAAAGGGAAACGTATTCATAGAGCCCAAAACATTTTGTTGTGCCACGCTGTAAACATGCAGTTTAAGGAAATAATGCATGCACGTTTTTACATGGGAGTCTGTTGGGGTGGACCTGCAGGTGGCAATTACAGTAACTGCAGTTTTTACTAAATTACACATCGGCTTCATTTTTAAGCTCCAGAAACTTGATTTAAAGGGAAAGTTCCTGTTCCTTTCACAATAAAAGTCCTGGACATATACACTGTGTATAGAGAAGAGGAGGTTATTGCAATAGTAGAAATCAACTTTAATGAGTAAAAGATCTCTTTTTAAAAACCAGCAAAAATATATAGTGTTACATTTGATATCATTGACATTGATGTGAAAATAACGTACAGTTGCCAGGTAACAGTAATTTCAGTTAAACGCTATAAAAAAATTAAATATTTTTGCACACGTGTAGAAAAAAATCGAGTTTGTGGTGTTGATCAGGTAGTCGCACATAAGTTTAATATATTTTTATTATTATTATTATTTGTTGCTTCTGTTTTACTGCATTTCAGAGGCAAATATGTTTATTCATATGCATTAAAGTTGTTTTATTTACATTAAAATACACAATTTTGTGTTAAGTCACTCAGCCACTAATATTTCAAAGTGAAATCATTTAATCCAAGAAACATCCTGCTCCATCCAGTCGCCTCACAGTCACTCAGACTTATCGTATGACAGGCTCCACTTGGACCAGCTGCAGCAGTAAAATGCTGCTTGCATCAGTAACTGAAGGGCCCTCAGAAAGTGCGGTCTCTGTCAAGGCCAATTTATGGCCCTATTTCATAATTTTAAAGAGTGTAATTTGGATCTGCGCCAAACTTTTATAGCTTCCTCCTCACCGGGTTTCCATTTAACTCGACGTTGCAGTGTTTATTTATTCTCAGTGAAAAACAAACAGATGACCGCCTCTCGCCTCCCCTGCAGGGATTTTGATGCCAGTCTGTATCTGTGTGAGGAGGCCTTTGGCCTGCTTCCCCTGGACACGCTCGAGCGCCTGGCCGGTACCCTGCTGCTGTACCCCTACGTCCTCACGCTGCTTCTGCTCTGTGGCATGTTGGTGGCGGCAGCACTGCAAAACCTGAGGTAGGTGATGACTCAACAGGAAGTGGAGAGGGTTATATAAGACAAAGTAGCTCCAGATTACTCTGATCAGTCACAAAATAAAATAAAATAAAAACCCACAAAGCAAAACAACATTAAATTAATATTTTGTTACTCTACTCCATATTTTTTGACCCATTCATGGGCAGTTTTTGTGGTGTGGGCGGGGCATGTTGAGCTGAGGAAAGACGCCTCTGCCAGAAAGTTCAGTTACCAAGAAAGTCATGCCTGGTCTGCAGCAATGTTTAGGTGGGTGGTTTGTGTTTAAGTAAAATCCAGATGATTGCCAAAGTTTCTCTGCATTGGAAGCAATCAATTATAAACTTTGTGCCGGTTCACTTTATTTAAATATACATAGCACCAGCTCACAACAGCTGTCGTCTCGAGGTGCTTTATATAAGACCCTACAGTATAAGAGAGAGAACACCGAAGACACGTTCCCCCCGCAGCACTTGGCGATAGAGGGAAGAAAGAACGAACAGAAACATATCCAGCAGAGCCTCGCGCTGTCTGGTTGGGGTTGAGGGGAAAGAGAAGAGAGAAACTACAAAGAACAAGGAGAGTAGACAGAGGAGAGGACGACACATTTAAAGTAGAGGAAAGTGATATAGCTTCAAATGATATCATGGTAATTCAAATTTGTGCTAACAGTATTTCTGACGATGAAAGAAAAAAACGTACTGAACAGTTTTATTGACCTTTGCAGGCAGCAATATTTAGAAGTAAATAAAGCCAGTAAATGAAGGCCATTTTCTCTATTTTCCAGTCAGCTTCTGTCATTGATGAAACGTTAGCTAATTCAAAGTGTGAACTAATTACACCAAGGTACCAGCAGCAGCAGCATGGTGGTGCAATAGTAGTGACGCAGCACAAGTCAAATGTATGCACGAAAGTATCCCAGTGCCACGACCATGAAAGGTGTAACTATGAAACGGACTCTTAAGCAGGACCTGAGAGACAACAGCTTAAAGTTCACAGGTTTTATTGTCACAAAGGGAAGTTTCTCAAAGGCAATGTTAAAACAGGATGAACACTGGAATGAATCTCTGGCAACTCGGCACAGCAACCCTGAGAGAAAAGAGATGGGGGTTAAATCCAGTCCACAGTATGGGTGAGCGGCAAAGTAATGAGCAGAGTGGCCGTCTCTGTCAGACCAGCTTGACAAAGACGGGTAAGATATCTGGGTTTGAAAGCACTCTTCAGCTCCAGAGGAATCATTAGGATAATGATTACAAGGGCGTTAGCACAGGAGACACATTAGGAGAGTCATAGAAGAGCCTGGGAATTTAATGTAAAAGTATAAAGTTACTGCTTAACACTTTAGTTTAATGATAACAAATTCAGTTCAGTTTTAGTTATAACGTCAGACAACAGCAGTCACCTTAAGTCGCTTTATATTGAAGGTAAAGACTCTACAATAACAGGAAAAAAACAACAATCACATGACAAACACTGTCACTTGGTGACAGTGGGAACGAAAAACTCCCGTTTAATAGGAAGAAACCTCTGACAGGTTCAGGGAGGGGCAGACATCTGTCATGGCTGGTGAGGAAGCAGACAGGACAAAAAAAAGAACTAAACTAGCTTAAGTTAGACAATATTTTCACATAATAAATCTGGTTATTGTATCTTGGCCAGCTGCTTAAAGCACTGTGCAGGAGTAGTTTCCATCCATTTGTTCTTCCCGTCTGCAGCTAGCGAGGGCTCCAGCGATCCTCGCTCATTTGTTTACGTTTGGGTCGCACGTCACCAGCTGCTAGCATCTCCTTCTTAGCAGCTGTACTTGACGGCGAATTTTTGCCTCGTGCAGTGAAACACGTTTGTTGTTTTCACCTTCAGCAGGAACAGTTTTCGTGCATATTTTCCAAAGTACTCTGCTTTATTGGAGGTTGCTCCAGCAGCCTGAGCTTTAAGTAATGGATGGCTTGGGGTCAGCTGATCCAGCTCTAACTAAATTATAAACTTTATCAAAAAGGAAAGTTTGAAGAAGGTGCAGTTAGCAGGTACCCTGATGACAGGTAACTGATGAACCCTCTGATGAGTATTTCTTTACAGCAACTAGTGATAAATCAGGCAAAAATAAACAAGAGCCCATTGCTTTGGAGTTACATTTCATCAGCTCTGTTTCTCTTTTGCTTGTCATACATTCATGCATTAAAATTAAACTACAAAGGAAACCAGAAGGCTTCCAGTACTGAAACTCTTTCCCTTGCCCACAGATTCTTTTTTTCATATGCAGATATCTTTGGAGAAAAATTAGTGAAGTATAAATGAATCGAAGGTTTCGGCTCCTTCAGAAAATAGAAGAGACAAGATGTTTATTAGGAGGCAGAAGCCCAGTCGTGGTAGTCACAGTCCCCGTGTCTGCTCCACATTGTTTCTTCACGCTCTGCAAAGCCGCTCTGCCTCTTGAAGCCTCATGCGCCTGTGGTGCAAGGTGAGGGCCCTATCGAACTAATCACATTAGCATATCAACTCGCACTCTGCCGTTGGAGGCTTGGAATACTAACCTCATAGAACAAAGGGCTATTTGCCAATTCGGGAATTAATTTAATCCAGTTTAGCCCAGCTCACGTAGGAGGAAGAGCCGGATTGGATTTGTATTCAAATGGAAGCCAGTGTCCGTCTGATTCGGTGCAGGAGGCCAATTCGGGGGAGTGACATCATGCCCTCGAGCCTTCGTCTGTTTGTCTGCGTGCCGACTCCCGCAGACAGAAACGGTCGTGGGTGTGTGTATTGTTGCGTGTCCACTTGTGTTCAAACTACTAATGAAATCTGAATAATATCAATTCCACCCACCTTCCCTTCTGCCTCTCGTCTCGAGCGTCTGGATGTAATGTTTTATGTATCACTGTTGTCTTTTGTGTCGCTGTGTTTTTCGGTTTCTCAGCAGGCCTAACAGAGGTTCCACTGAGGAAAAGAAAGGAGCCAGAGAGGGGCAAGTGGCGGCATTTCGTCCAGATGTGGCCTACAATCTGCTGCACACGCTGTTCTACGGCCTCCTGGCTTTCAGCACAATGAGGTGAGACCTCGTAATTCTAGCATCATCTACATGCAGACGTCCCCAAGTAGTCGCATTCTGAGACGGGAACTCTCCAAATGTACTTTTCCTCTTGATGAGTTGATTATGCAAAGTCACGAGCAGATGCTAAAATCCAAGTGCCTCTTAAACGCCTCTCACAAAGTGTCTGAATGGTCCGCTTTAGCCTTGATCAGCCCTCAGCGCCAAGTACCATCCAGCACCACTCACAGCAGACGCAAAAAGAGTCGATACAGCTGAACAATCGATAATTAATACTCTGACCCCCCCCTTCAGAATTTTAACGAAGACCTGGTGCAAACAAACGGCTAACGAAGCTCCATCTGCCGTCTCGCCACTTACCATAAATTATGTTTTTTAAAAAGAATCATTAAATTTTCTTATTTATAAGGTACGGTAAATAGTTTCAGTTAAGTTGCTCATTTTAAGTTACTTTACTGCTGTTTCAGCTTGTGTTTATGCTGTAAAGACGTCCAGAGCAGGCCACTGTTGGGAAGAGTCTCACGGCTGTGTGGCTCAGAAAGGTTATAACTTAGAACTTTTTATTTCATTTCGCCTTGTAAGTACACAATACTATTTCAGCAAGCAGTTTTTTTTTTCAATAAGGATTTTTCACTGGCTTTCAACTCCTTCTTGTAGTTTTTAGTTTTCCACTGTGGCTCAAGTATACATTTATTTATGTGCCGGTGAGAGTAAGAAGGCTCGTTTGGTTTGTTTTTGCAGTCGGTGTGTGTCTCAGGCAACCATGTTGCAACCTTTCTCTGGAAAGACGGAGAGAAATGGTTCCAGAAATAAGATAAGATATAGGAGGCATACTGTTTACATGTGCGCTGGCTTTGAAAACCATCTTCTTTGAGATACATTTGTTTACTGTATTTACTGTGCTCTTGTGCGATATTTGTACAAATGCTGTTTGTACATATGTTCGGAGTCGGATACTAAGAGCCTTCTTTGCTGCTTCTTCCTCTCCTGTTTTCTGGTGGCACACAGACGTGCAGTGGTCTGTTTCTCTGGTTAATATTATGGCACAATCCACTGGCAGGTTCCCACCGTGGAGCAGCAACACCTCTGAGGGTGTCTCGGCTTGCAGGTGCCAGACTCAGAGGCCCGACACCAGTGCTGGCACCTCGCTTTACCGCCGTCTTTCTTGTGGTCGACTTTCATATTCAGCCTCTTCTTCTTAATTTCCTGAATGTTTTGGCTTGCCCGGCTGCAGCCTTTGCTGCTGTGACATGAGATATTTGCTCTTATAATATCAGAACTGTGACCACCAGATATCATTGGTTTGACCGGCATCGGCCTCTACACCGACTACTGCAGTTTTCAGTTTGGTGTCGGCTCTCGTTGGCATTTACAGTTTGTTCTTATTTAAGTCATTTTTTGGATGAACAAACATTTTTATTCAGTTTTTCTTTTATGGGTTTGTGTGTGTCTGTGTGTGTTTAATCAGGTGAAATTATTAATATCAGGAGCTACAGTGGGTATATCATTAGTGATGTTGTTCAGTCAGTTTCAGTCGACTTCTAAAAGATGGATATTGTGTGCTAGCACAAAAGTTCATTTCCCAGCAGAATGCTTCTTGTACCTGGAACAAGTTTTATTCTCAGTATCAAACATGCTATGACTCACTTTAGCTTTTACTTATAGCATCTATAATGTGAGCATATGGTGCTCCTAAAGGCCCCGTGTGGGGTTTATCATGACCATTTATTTACTCATTAATATCTTCTGTAGGAAGGTAAAATACCTGATCGTCAGCAGTCTCTGCACAGCTGTTTCTGTCCTGTTAGCAAACATGTTTGGATAGTTCTGTCTACTCATTAGTGGTTAATTTCACATGCATGGAAAATTCCCTTTGTCACCTATTTTTATCTCCTTGCTTTAAAGGTTTGGTTCTATAAAAAACAACGACGCTTTTTGCCGTATCAGTAGCTCTGCAGCGTCAGACAGTGTGACTAATACACCCTGTGGCTTGAATTTTTCTCTCTCCCCATTTCGCATCTATAACCTCGAGCACAACAAGCCTCCCAGACCTGACTCCAGTCGTCTATTTGTAATTGTCAAGTGGTTTTCATCGCCACCATCATTAGTAAATTTTCCGGCCTGAACGCGTTTCAGACTGCAAACACACGCTGACATGTACGATTTATCACTAGGAAAGTATAATTGTGTTTTAACTTTAGGCTCTTTGTGAGGAGTGTCAGGAAAACCATCGAGATCACCAGTGGAATTACTACTTCCTGTCCCTGTAGTAAAAGAAACCTGCAATTACTCTGTTAAAAAAGAAACTGGAGTTTTCTGGTATGTTGTTTATAGCAACTTGGCTATGAGGGTTTTATAGGTTCACATAAGTAGCTTCATTTAAATAAGAGTCTGTCAGTAGCTGGGTTATTCTCTGTGTAGGGAAATGTTGATAATAATTGAATTTATGTGGTTAGCAGGATTCAGAAAAGCAGGTCTATGCAGTACTGTTAACACTTATAGTTCACACAGTGCTTTGCTGTCACAGTTGGTAATTTAAAGTACTGATTAAATTCCCACAAAAGGAGCAAAAGAAAAAAAAAGTCCTGAAAGCTTTTAGCACAGAGTCAGGTAGGGCAGAAAGTGACACGTTTGATTTCAGCACTTTCTCTAAAATGCTGATTAAGAGAGAAAAGCCAAAAGTGCAGAAAGCCATTTGTTTCTGTCAGACGGCTCCTTTGCATTAAAAAAGTATTGAGATTTATTTCAGTGAGGCTGCACTTCTTTATGCCTCCCCCCTCGCACGGCTCCATCTCCGCACCTGTCAACAATTTTTCAGCTCATTTCATTCTCCCCGTCTTCAGTCTTCTGCTTGCTGCTCTCTGTTTAATCTTTTTCTCATTTGTTTAGAACTCTTTGCTTTAGACTTCATGTGCTTTGGATCAGAACTTAAAAATAATGCAGTGTTTTTGGCACCAAATCAAACTCAACCACAGCGAAACCATTTCACTAACTCGTGCGCAAAACTGCAGACGAGTTGGTCGTCTTGTTTGAATTCTGTGTGTGTGCTGAGGGAACGTCCTCCAGTCCAAGCTGTATAATTTGTCTGTGTCATGGAGGCTGGGATCTGTTTTCTTTTTTCTCCTAAGAGGAAGACTGTTGAGACACGAGCGCTGCTTGATATGGCTTCTCCTTCTCTCTTTCTGCCCAGAATGAAGTATATATGGACTGGCCACATGTGTGCGGTCGCAGCCTACGGTGTCTGTGGGACCGAGCTGTGGACTGTGCTTCTCAGCGCTCTCCGATGCAACACGAAACTTCTGGTACGAGCTCACATTTTCACTTCTGGCTCCAAATAGTGCTGCAGGGAGGATGGGTGGTAGGATCTTTGTTTACGATAATCTCCAAAAATTCCACTACTCTATGTCCTCTGAAGCATAAATACAGTCATCAAAGCTAGAATTCAAATATTAAAAAACCTAATCTGCAATTGCAGAACAAAATGTGCTTCACCATCCAGGCTAGTCAGGGTTGAGTAATCTCAGATCTTGTTCCATTTAGATGGGAGAAATTATTCATTTGTGAACTAAAGACAACATAAAATATAAAAAGGATAACTATATTTATCCCAAATGTTGGGAAATTCCAGCGTTACAGTGACTAAAACTGTAAATGCACTTTGCAATTAAATGGCCCGATTTTGCTTGCCGCTGAGTTGAGGAAGAGGTGAATTTCTACCAATCAGATCGTGTTTATTCAAATGCTCCACTGTTGCCACTGACCAATTAAAACACATTATGCTAATGTCCCATGGGAGCGAGGTATTTGCTTGCGCATGAGGAGATATTGTGTGTGGATACAGTTGCTAACAGGCTCTTCAGGCTCGTCTTGTGAGCGGCTGCCAAACATCCAGGATCTGACCAGCTCGTTCTTCCCAAATCGAACACATTCACTGCATTTACTGCACTGATCAGTAGCTTTTCTCTCGTCTGTGTCACATTAAGAGTGATTGCAGTCCCACGTTGATCCCACGGTGCCGTTTAGGTGTCGCTACCTGTAAATGTGACTTCCAATGGTTGCTGATGTGGCTCAGAGTCTGTTAGATGTTTAACTGGTTGCTAACCTGTTTGATGTAGTAACTTTACATACACACTACGTGGCTGATGACATGTTCTTGACCTGCTAGATGAAAGTGCACATGCTCTGAGCGCTACGTTATATCGCGCTTCCACAGATGAGTAAAGAGCTGTTTTAGCTATTACCCAGTGCCAAAGGTCGTCTGTAACCACAGTGCTGTGCTGCTGGCCACTGGATAAGCACACTACAGCACAGCCAGTTCAAATTCTCTTCATCAGAGTAGTTTCGATCAAGCAGGGGAAAAAAAGACGACGGATTAGATCGTTTCTGGCCGGGCGATTGGACCGAACAGCTTTCCAGTCACTGAGCGACTTCTAACTGTCGTTTTAGAAAAATTTGAAGTGTGTACTTTGTTCTCAAACATGTCTCTGAACGTACTGAGGTTTGATTCCCAGTTCTAGTAACACTGCACATTATGCCTGTCACCACCCTCCAGTGTGACTGACATTGATCTCGTTTAAAGCTCACTGCGAGGCGCTCTTGAAAGATTTTTCTATCTTTTATGATTTCCTGTATTGATGTGACGGTGAACCATTATGCTGCTGAATCCACAGCCTGCACTCTGAGCGTGTGCCGGCATTGCCAGTGAGGCCACTAGGTGTCAGTGTGGTCACAACAGGACGGCAGCAGGAATCAGATAAACGATGGTCGGGAACAAAGCTGCTCTATCTGTCTGTTATCTCACTCCGTGCTCATTTTTGGTATATCTCTGTGTGGCTCTTTACTTTCCTCTGCTTCTGATACAATTATTTTCCTTCATTTCATTAAAGTTGTTTTCTTTCTGTCATTTTGCAGTTGAGGCTTGTCAGATATGTCGTTCCTGTTGTGATGATCGGTTTCCTGTATTACAAGGTAGGCCATTTTCTTGGTGGTTTGTGCTCATACCTTTTATTGGAGTTTTACTTCTGGAACCACATGGAACGATCTGAGGGAAAGAAAATGGGCTAAATGGAAGTTACGGAAGAAAATGATGAAAAGCAATTGGAGCCTAACAGGATACTAAAACGATTGCTTCCCCTTTATTTATTTTACTGTTGGAGGAATCTAAATAGCTGTCGTATTCCCTGTTATGTTCAGTGAAGCAATAAGATGTTATCAAAGATATATCAGTGGGTTTGATACTCTGCTTATGGCTTCATAAACCGAATTTTCCATCACTTGTCTTTGTCTTTTTTCCCTTTAGTTCTGGCCTAAGCTGATGGAGGAGTTATCAGAACTGAGGGAGTTTTATGATCCAGACACCGTGGAGCTCATGACCTGGATTAGGTAGGCGCATACACCGGCGTTCACAAATCCAGAGCGCACATCATATTGAAGCAAATTTCATTCGCTTGTTCCTGCAGATCGAGTTTCACCGTGCCTCGTGTCCTTGATTAGTCCGCGTGTGAGCGTGTCCGTGTGCGTGCATGCGTGTGTCTCGGCGCTTGTTTGTCGGAGAGTCTGTCTGATGAGTGATGAGAGCTGATGGATATCCATGAATAAGACATGGGAGTGCTGGAAAGGACCCAGCTGTTGGCAGAGCTCTAACCCACCTCAGGGTCTCTGTTGCTGGGCTTCCGATCAAGAGCATCACCCTGATGGGATCAGAGATGGAGCTGTGATTTGGAAATGCTCCGAACTGTCGCTGATGCTGCTGTGTGTTTGCACATCTGTGCACGCCTGTCATTTTCTGGTCGTCATGTTGGATGCACAGCGCTGGATTGGCCGCCCGTAGTGCATATCCTACATCTGTGCAACTATAACATCTGGCCAAAGACACAACTCTCAGCTCTCTGCTTAGTGCCTGTTAAATTTCTCATTTATGTTCCACTTACACCAGCACAGACAAGTTGGTTTAACTGGGATTGTTGGCAAGGTCAGTAGTTATCAGCTGGGTTTGCAGCTCTCTCGCAGACCTGAGGCTGAACGCTGGTCAGACGCTGCGCAGTGCTGCTGGACTCGTTAGGCATTCAAATTAAGAAGCGAGAGATAATGAAACATTACGGCTGAGTGTCAGGAATGAAGTGGGATGCAGTAGTGGTGCAAACTGAAGCTGATCGTGTGCTTGGTCATTAAGATTTTCATCCTTATCGCTGATATTGTAACATAACAAGAACGATATGCTAACTTATGTATTTTAAATCTCCGTTCTAGAATAAATTAGAAAAAGTGACTTATGGTTTTTCCAGAGGGGCTGCTAATAGAAATATTATGACACCAAAGCACCTTTTTCCTAAAACTTGAGTGTTTTCTTTTGTTCGTCACGTCAGGGCTGTGGGTGTGTTTGTAGGCATGCTGAAGGAAAACTGCAAGAACCACATTTACAGCTGTTTTTAAGCCTTCGGTTTTCTGTAATTTTGCCTTCCTGTCGGCCATTGTGAGAGCGCGCAGGGCTTAGTCAGTATTCCCACTTTACATTTTTGCATTTTACATTTTTTTTTACAACACTTCCACACATCTGCTGCTCTAAGCAGTCCAATTAAAAGTGTTAATGTCTTTGAATTCTGTTCATTCTTTTATGTTATGTGCAGGTATATTGGTAGTCTTGTATGGATTCACAGTTGAGTTTGCACGATTTGCAGACTGTGTTCCTCCGTTTAAGTTAACAGCGTCTTTAAAGGTCGTTAATTTAGGATTAACCAGCTCTTGGTTAGCTATAGCTGATTTGTTGTTAGCTAGTCGATTTGATTTGCTGAGAATACGAGTTTGTGGAGGGAAACGGCAAGTTACAGGACACATTAGCACGTTGTCTGCACGATTGTGATCTCTTTTGGCAGAGAGAAGGGGAACTTGACACTTTTTGTGTTTTTACATTCCTGCTGTCACCAGTGGCCACAAACTAGCCTCCAAAGAGTTTTTGGGTCACCCTGATAGTAGCCCTGCTCCTCCATATCGAAACGCAAGACTCCTCGCTGAGGTGTTTCAGCTTTTCTAACTGGAAGGAGACCTCAAGGCAGCTCCATGACACACTACAGACACTTCAGCTGCTTAGGGAATGCCTCATAGAAGAGCTAGAGGCCTGGAAGTCTGGGAATCTCTGCTTGGGCTTCTGCCACTCAGCGAGAGTAATAAAACATGGATGGAGATGATTAAATAGTTTCACCTAAGACCAATAGTGTACATTTTATTGTCCTGCTTGGGCTACTACTGAAAATTTAAACCCAAACTGTTTCTCTTTTGACTTCAACATGGAAATACACACGATAAATCTGCTTTTAACTGTTTTGTTTTTCGCAGGGGAACGGTCTCAGACCCCCTCACACAAAACTTGGATGCTGCAAAATCTTCTTTACAAGCTCTGTGAGGAAAAATGATAGTTTTTGTCCACTCAGATAATCCCGTTGCCATCCAAACACGCCAGCCTATCCTCAATACATTAAAACCAGTTTAGAATGACTTAACATAGGTTTTCCCTGTAGTTCACTTATAGACTCAGTGAATGATAATTTAAGGCTTCTTATTTCCATCCTATCATCTTCAGCGCGATGACACAGAGTGGACCAGATGTGATTTCTAAGAAATGGACAATTTTGGTATAATCCTATTAAACACTTAGTGGAATGGCACAGGGAGAACGAGAGAGATATGGATAGTGAGACAGCAGAGGAGAGGTTTGGATTTTGAATGTATTTGTGTGTGTGACATGGGTTCCCTTCCCTCCGGAGCTAATCCCATTAGGCGGTGAGGATTAGGGGCTGCCTAGAGTTACCTTGGTTGGGGCTGAGAGCAGGGCGGAGTGCTAAGCTTCTTGCTGCGCTAATTACATTCCAGATGAAAGTGTTAAGATGGGGAAGGAGGTTCATGTTACGCTGTATTCTCTAGGTGACTGAGGCCGAGGCTATTTCGTTTTATATGCAAGAAGCAGATATTCAGACTGCGGCACAGTAAAGGGTAGGACGAGCGTACGTGCAGCGTACGGAGGAAAGTATATTTCGTGAACAGCTTGCGTGCGTGTGTAAGCTATCGCAGATTCGTTGTGATGATTGTAGCTGCATTTGTTTGACTTTGGTTGATCTAAAATGAAGAGTTTGTCAAAGGATACAAGGTCTGAGAAAGCCTTTATCTTTACAATCTCTCGAGCCAGAATTAGGATTAGATTAGGGAAAGGATAAAGATGTTTGTTTGATAACGATGGCTTCAGAGATGAGATTAGGATTATTAGATCAGAGATAAGAGGGCCCTCGTCAGGGCTAATGACGCATGCTTGAGGCCCTCATTAGTATAGAAGTGTGTGAGTTAAGACAGGCTGATGAGGAGATTATCATAATTCCCAAGACTCTCTTTCATGACCCGTGACTTTATGAGTTTGAAGAACTAAGGCGCAGCCATAATTCACAAGTTTGCACTTGATAACAGAGTTGGCTCCACAGCTCCGCTGTAGGCTGATACTGTGTTCTAAATGGGCAGTCGATAAATCAATAGCACTGCCTGGATGTTCAACTGCCTCCAACTTTGAGTTATAGTTGAGAGTGAGCAGTTTTTAAAGTCACAAACATCACCTCCATCTAGCCGGTGTGCTCTCTCTCCGCTTCCTCCTGAATCCGGTGCAACTTTGCTTTTCTCAGATTCATGTTTCCACGCTGGTTTTTGCAAAAGCAGTACAGTGTCAGTCAAAGGAGGTTACTGAAAAAATGAAGGGAAAATTCGAGGTAGTTTTGCTGCTCTGCATGAAGTATTCAAGGCAGTGCAAATGTTAACGTGCAGCAGAGAGAGGAGCAGCGGAAAGCCAGACATGTTTAATACAGCTGATTCTAGGCCCCTCAGTCCATTCTCACTGCTGTCACTGCACCGTCGCTCCAACAGGGAACAAAGTTCACCTCGCATTTCACAGCACAGATGAGTCAGAAGTGGTATCTATTACATTTTGAATGAGGTTATTTGTTGGACTTGGATTTTGATGTCAGTGTCACGACTCTGATTTAGTGATTTCTATATTTTTGCGTCATACAATTTCCCTCCCTCTTATTTTTCTCCTGACACACACCGCTCACCGTGCATATTCCACCGCATAGAGAGGCCAAGTGATAATGCCAGCCTCCTGTGAATCGGCTTCTGGATTGTGGTGGATTGGTGTTTTGATCCCCAGCTGCTCTGCATGCTGAAAACATGAAGTTGCACCAGTAGCAGCTTTGCATTGCAGCTCTGTGTGTGCACGTGTGTGTGTGTGTGTGCGCATGTGAATGACTGAATAAGAAATGCATTTTAAAGAGCTGTGTAGAACAGCTAAGGTTAAAAGTGCAGACAAATTGCATTTTAACTTTTCTTCAGATCACACAGCAAATCATTGATTTCCATATTTTACTTCCTGAATGTCCGCTCTCAGTACATCCAGAAATTTCCTCCTCGGCCTTTCTCTTTTCCTGGCAGCTCCGTCGTCATTATCCTGCTCAAAGGACACAGGAGGAGCTCACTGCTCTTTCACATAAACCAATTCAATCTGGCCTCTCTTGCCTGGTCTCTGAGCTGTCCCTCTGATATACTCTCTGCTATTCCTGTCCATCCTTCTCGCTCCTGGCACAAATCTCACGAGCTTTAATTCAAACCATTTACCATTTAATATGCTTTTATTTTGAAAGCTACCTTGCTTTCCCCCCCATCCCCCTCCAGCTCACCCCCGCCCTTCGGGTGTAAGATATACAGGCTGTTTTCGAGAATTATGAAGGCTGCAGTGGAAATTATTAATGAGAGCTTTGACAGCAGTTTTGCTGCAAATTCAGGAGGCTCATCTAGCTACTCAGCATGGAGACCCATTCAGTGAAGGAAAACGACTCCACTGGAAAAGTCAGCATAAACCCTGATGTGTTTATACAGCAAGTCCACACGCTTAAACAGGAAAACACATTGTGTCTCAGTTTCTTCTTAAAGACCATTACAACCACTCCCAAAGTAACCAGTAAGCATGTTTTTATTTGATTTTATTTATTCATATTTGTACATGTGCAATATTAACATCAGTGTTTGCCATTTGATGCACTGTGCCAGAGTTAGCTTAAAGCTAATTTACATCTACAGTCCCTCAGCAGGTTGGATGTGAAAAATGTCACATAAAAGATTCTCACATCCATAAAAAAAGAAAGATTACAAGTCTTTCAGCAAATATTTTAATAAAGCTGGTGAAAGCGCTGCAGTACCTAATGGTATCAGGCAGGACTTCAACTTCCATTGAGTTCAAGCTTTCGCAGAGAGTGCTGATCGCCCAAAAGCAGAATGACAAAACGCTACAGTACGGTCTTTAGTTGACGATATGCTTGTAGATTGTAAAGATTCTCATGGGCAAAAGCTAATAA